ATTGTGGGCAAGAGAATCCGAGTAAAGCTGGATGGCAGCCGGCTTATAAAGGTTCATTTGGACAAAGCACAGCAGAACAATGTAGAACACAAGGTAACAGATTAGGTGTTTTGTTTTTCTTGTACTTTCTGTGATTTAGATGAAAGTGTACAGAGCAAATTTTCATTCAAATTAACTTTTTTTATGGAAAGGTTCAAAGACCATTAAAGAAGATTGCTCTGTGTACCACCCAGAACCAGCGGTTGTAAATGCAGGGACTATGTTTTCTTGTATAGCTTGACCTACTCTTATTTGGAATGAATGTGTCCGGTTTTAAATTGGGAATGTTTAATAAAGTTGTTAAGTGCTGTCAAGTCCATTCTAGCTCATACCTACCCTGTATAGTGTTTCCAAAGCCTCATCTTTTTCTGTAGAGCTGCTCAAGGTGGTTCTTGAGCTGCCCACTTTGTGATTCATAGTCCCATACTGTTGTCTTTCAAATTAGGAAAAATGGAACTTAAAACAGTTCCATGGTCTGATTTGCAAGTCTATATCCTTGATAAATTTTAGAGACTCGGTAGGGGGAAATATTAGGATGTGGGAGAACTATCACTTTCCTTAAGACATGGTAGAAAATAATCAATGTGGACAACCACTGGGGGAATCACTCAGTGGCTCTGTTTGAGTGGTGTAAAGGAGCACAGCATTCTGGTGCAATGATGTATAATCCTGTTCCACGACATTGGAGATCAAGCTTGTCCCCAGTCTTGAGACTGATGAGGGCATGGTCCTGTATATTCCTTATCTTTTCAGTATTTGGTTGCTGAGGAGAAAAACCATACAGGGTACAGTTTTATAAAAGTATTGTTTTAAGATAAATATGTACATTTAAAGATTTTTGATGACTTATTTCTTTTATTGTAGGTTGAAACGTTTTCTGGTGTGTATAAGAAGCTCACGGGCAAGGATGTTAATTTTGAATTCCCAGAGTTTCAGTTGTAAACAAAAATGATTAAATGAGATATCATTCACAATATTGTGTCTTCTGAATGTTTTTTTTTTTTTTCTTTTTTAAGACGTGGATACAATTAACTGTGTATGTTACTAATAGCTTCTTAGAAAAACTGAAAGATATAATCAGAGGTTGCATAAAATAAAATATTAGGACATAGAAGGTTTTGAGAAAAGAGTGCCTATACTTCGTCCCAGAAAATTTGGTGACTGTGAGGATATACTTGTATCCAGTAATGTTGCAATAGATTTAATTATACAAAATGTCTAATATGGGACTTTTAAACATTGTACAAAAATACAGGTATTTTGTGGTGTGGATAATAGTTGGCTCAGAGGAATGACTTTTAAGTCTTTGATTGATGAAAGCAACAAATCATTAGCAGTTAAAGATTCAGGGGTGGGTCTTAACCAGGTTGTGTTTACAGTTTATATTAAGGTAGATGCATACATACTTGGAAGGATCTACAAGATAGTGCTTTCCTGTTTGGGGGCATAGTTCTCTTGACTAAAGTATGAGGTAAAATACTATTATCTTAAATCCCATCCCTAGCTCCCAGCAGAATGCTTTAATTTCAAGAAGGAAAATAGTTTTCCTTAAAAGGTTTCAGATGTACTCCAAACAGGCCAAGAATACCAAAACCCAGTGTTGTTGAGTCAGTTCCAACTCATAGGGACTCTATATTGTTAAGTGCTGTCAAGTCGGTTCGACCCATAGCAACCCTGTATAGGGTTTCTGAGGAGCAACTGGTGAGCTTGAACCACCGACTTTGCAGTTCAAACGGCTTTGCAGTCTGGTGTGTTAACCCACAGTGCCACACCAGGACTCTGTAGGACAGAGTAAAATTACTCCATTAGGGTTTGTAAGGTTAAATCTTTAAGGGAGCAGAGAGAGTCATTTTTTTTTTCCACGGGAATGCTGGTGGGTTTGAATTTATGACCTTGCAGTTAGCATTCCTGTACTTATGCTACAACATCACATCTGGACTCCCTTCCTCACTTTTTAAGTGTTGTGGAGTCAGTTCCAAGTCTGACTTTGTATAGGGTTTCTGAGGAGCAACTAGGGAGTTTGAACTGCCAACCTTGTGGTTCAAACTGA